TCCTGACTTTTCTGCACAATTCACAAAGGTCTTGCTTCTTCAAACAGCTTGCTACCAGGCTCCCTCTCGGAAAGCCGCTCACAACCTTTTTATTCAGACCAGTTTCTGAAGAGTCCATGGACCGGCGGCCCCTTCCTTCTCCCGGCGTGCCCAGTTCTCAAAACGTCTTCCAGGAGATCAAAGCTCCAACTACTGTACAAGCAAAGATTGCTCCAGTTAAGCAAATTTAGGTCCTGGATCCAGTAAGATAAACGAGATGGAATATTCCATGTACAATCTTAGGGAGGGGAGGAGAGAAAACAGAATTCATGTTGCTGGAGAAGAAAAAAGTGATACCCTGCAATGCCAAAAACAAAATCTCAATTCCCACTATTTTTAGTAATCAGCCTTCCTTGCAGTCATCAGACTCAGGAGGGTGTGGCTCAGTGCCAGGGCACAGGACGCTCTGCATGCCAAAATCCCAGCGCACATATGTATCTCCCTCCCCCCAAATTAAAGGGCCCTCAGGTAGTAGGGCCAGGGAAGAAACAAGTCTGGGCTGGCTGCTTTTGGCAAGGGGGCGCAGTATGGCCTGGCACTGCGTAAAACAAAGCCCACACAGCCAAAGTGAAGAGGATCCAGAGAGACCCCCAGTGTTCTGCTCTCCATTTCCTCTCCATGCTTTGTGGCTCACATTCCAAACCAGAGGCTGCTGGAGGGGTGCCACTCAGTTACTTCCCTCTCAGGTTTCTGCTGAGCCTTGTCCCAGGTGCTGCCCCACCACCCACCCCAGGGCAGACAGACGGGGTGGAGGGAAAGAAGGGGCTCCTCAGTCTTCTTCCCCACCTCCGTCTGGGCTCAGCAACAAGGCTCGCCGTGACAAAGAGGAGACTGGTTCCACTGCCACTGGATGTGCTGTTACTGTGAAGACCCCGCCGTGCCCAGGCAGGTGCCCCGTCTGCACAAGAACAGCCAAGGACGGCATGCTCCTTTCCTCCGCCCGCACCTCTGCAGCTAGGAAGAGCTTGGGGGGGCCCAGTTTCTAAGGCACGCGCCAGCTCTCAGGCAGTCGAGCCATTTGGACAAAGCAGCTCTTCTCTCCTCTCCTTTTGCACAACGCTGGATCAAGCCCTCTGCACAAGCCAGCCAGGCTGGTCTCCCGAACAGAAGGAGCCACGTCCCGCCCAAGGGCACGAACAGCTTCTCCAGCCAGGACCTCACCCCCCAACTACCCACAAGTTCCAATGGCCAGTGCTCTCGAGAGAGTTACAGAAGCAGACGTCACTCGCAGGCGGCAAGAGTGCAGAGCTCATCTAAAACCTGTGCCTGCGCAGTGAGGAATGTCCGTGTCACCCAGGAGAGGACACCCCCGGTGCTCCAGCACCAACTACTGTACAGCTCTGCCCCACTGAAATCGGGCCACCCTTAATGTGAAATACGCGCCTGGCACCTTGCAGGTAAACTGATGCTGCAGCTAAAATGGAGTCCAAGCCAGATCCAGAACCTCTTCTTTAGGAGGGAGGCTTGGCTAAGCCTGACAGTAAAGGAGTATTCCCATGGGCCTGCTCTGGTCGCTGCTTTTAAGAGTTCCTCTCCTAGGTTTTCCACTGCCTCTTGTGTTAGCCTCTGACATCTTTCTTGTGAAGCATCCTTTATTGTTTTTTTTTAAAGGCAAACATATTACATTTGCAATAAAAACTGCTGCAATGGAAGCACAAGAAGAACATTAAGGTAAGAATAATAAAACAGCCTGGCATTTGAGGACACAGCAGCCTGATTACGCCCACCAGGTGCTCTGGTTCCTTGCTTAGCTTCCTGAAACCCCTTCCTGAAACCTCTTTCTGTAGCAAGAATTTTAATAACAAAGTAAAGAGACTAAATAAAAGAGAGGGAGGCATTACTGTGGCCACAACCAGAATTCAACTGATGAATTACCAGGAAAGCAAACCAGGAATTTAGCAGAGTCTGAACAGGTGCTGCTGAAGGCTTCCATCTAAACTCCCTAAACACCTAAAATTCTCTGGTTTTCTCTCTGGTTCTGCTTTTTCAAGGCACAGGTGAAACCTTTATAATTCCAAGCACTTCGTAAAAGGTTTTACAGTATGTTAGAAACCTTTGGGCTGTTTTGTTGCTAAATTTACTTTGCTAAATAAATTTTATTTCCCTAACATGTTGCATTCTACATTCTAATTTGTAAGTACAGTACACTACCTGGAAAACTTTGGTTCCCGAGTGGCTTAAAAACATAAAATAGAAAGGAAAAGTTCCAAACCTTTTCCCAGCTGCATTTGATAAAACCTTGCAGCTACATGTTGAGCAACTGAAGTCTCTGAACTACCTTCAAAGACTGCCCCAGATAGAGAGCATCATAATAACATAACTAGGACATGAATGACAGACAGAAATTAATTATGCCATCTCATTTTTATGCCCCTTTTATACAATCATCTTCCTTCCGTTACTTACAGTCAAGTATTTCCCCCCCTTCCTTGAAGTTTTACCTTTCCTGCTGTAAAAGATGACAAATATTTCCATCATTCATTACAGTTCTCGATCTGATCAGAGACGGATCTCTGCTGGACCTGGTTTTGTAAAGTGAATTCTACTTGGGTCCTCTAAGGTCTCTGAAACACAGGCCTTATTGCTCAGCCAGCCCTTTCCGGTCCTTTGGGCCTTGATGGGCAGCAATGGCCCTCCAGGCAAGGGCTCTGTCCCACCTCCAGGACCGAATCTGGGGGAACCTTCTGCAGGCAAAGCATGGGCTCAGATACCTAGACAGGATCTCAGCCAAGAACTGACTTCACCTCCAACACCTTCATCCTCCTTCTAAGACAGTGCAGTTGTGCGAACCTTGGTCCCCAGACATTGCAGTTCGAAAAAGTCTGGCTGTGGTGTCGAGAGAGGGAGGGGTCTGTGAGGTCTCTTCTAAAGCACCCTAATGTATCTCAGCTCAGCAAACTATAAGCCACACCACTCAAAGGAGCGCCTTTTGCCAAGGTCATCTACCTACTCCACTAGGTCCTCCCAAGCAATGCACCTTCAGGTGGCCACTCCAAAGGAAGTCAGGAAATAATCCACCAGAGGTACAGCCTTCTTTACAGTGGCATCAACACTCTGGAACCAACTCCCATTGGAGCTGCGCCTGGCCCCCTCCCTCCCTCCCTCCCAATGTTCAAAAGGCTCCAGAAAACATTGCTGTTCAAATATGCCTTTCATTGCAAGTCTGCCTGATTTTTTTTCTTTTGATTTTATGCTTTGCATTCCGCAATCATTTTGCAAATTACACCTCTTGTAATTTGTGTATTGGTACATGTGCGTTTTGTTTAATTTTATGGGTTGCGAGGAAGGAAGGAATGAAGAAAGGAAGGAAGGAAGCAAGCAAGCAAGCAAGCTGTCTCGGCCAGAATCAGATCACTTCAGATCAGGCAATCAAACCAAAATACCAAAAAAACACACACACACAAAAAAAAACCCTTCTCCAACCCCCCCAAACCGAAATACAAGCTGAAAACCTCTGCTGGCTCTAGACAAAAGCAGGAGAGAGTCAGATTCTCAGGCCAGAATAGGGTTCAAGCAGACAGCAGCCTCTGCCCCTCCCATCACACCTACTAGAGGCACCAAAATGAGAACATAAAAAGCCACAGGAAGGAAGCCATCTACATCTGGAAACAGGTCAGATGGGAAGCATTGCTCTTGCATGTTTTTCCTCCCTCAGAGTCATGGCTCAAAAGGCAGCCATTTGGTGGGGGTGGGGGGCACACATCCAGAGAGACTGTGGGAAAGAGGGTGGAGGGGAAGGATTTTGACTTAATTGTCCTCTTCCACATCCAATTAGTTTGCCGTGAGCTGTCATATACTGTAGCGGGAAATCCTGATCCTAAATCTGACCTCCCCAATTTCCTTTTTTTTTTTATAATTTTATTTTCAAAACTATTGGGTAATGGGGAAGGAATACAAAAGGCAAAGGGCAGTGGGGGTGTGTGGAAAAAGGGTTTTGAGAATAAGAAAACATCAAATGCATAATCATTCAATCTTTCATATCAAGTATATAAACATCTAATCTATTCATGTTCCAATAAAGGTTCATCTTTCTTCTTCTTTTCTTCTTCTTCTTTTGACTATTTTGACTATTTTGTCTATGTATTAACCTCTTTAGCTTTCAACTTATACGTGTAATACAGCTTAAATCTATGTTACTCCCACAGCATCAGAACACCAAGGCCAATTGTGAAATATATCCCCTCTTTCACCCTCCTTTTTTCTTGAGAATACACTCAACAGACCCAAAATAATATAAATCCTGCTCTCCCCTCCCCTTTCCTCCCTGTGCTTGTTTTGTTTCTGCGACTCTTTTTTCTTCCATATTTTAAAAGGGGAAACAATATCATTCAAAGTTTGCTTTTCAACCTCAAT